AATAATAACATAATATATCAAAATGTAGGTTAAGTTTTTATTTTTAAATTGATTGATTTAAATTTAAATGCATTATTGTTAATAATGTAGTATGCATTTGGTGATTTCGATAACAATTTGTTTGTAAGAGTTTAAAACTAATAAAAATATAATAATTTATAATATTGATAAAGTTTAAAATTTTTATGAAACAAAGATAATGCAGACATTAACAAAAAACCGTACTAATGGTACAATACACTTGATTCTCAAGAGTCGTGTTCGCAATATATTATATTATAATTATTGCGTTCGTCAGTGGAGTTCAAAATAATATTTTACTCGACAGTATTTTCCGTATTCCAAAATAATGACCACAGTCCACCTTTTTTATCTCTTTCTAATTCACTCCTCAAACCCCTATTATATTTATAATATTTTCACCGATTCTATACATAAAATATTATATTGGCGACTGGCGTAGTTCTACGGAAGATTCGCTATCATAGCTGAACAACACATGTAATATTGTTGGCTGAGTGACAATAATAGATAAATTATGTACTCGTAATAATAATTATCAGTATGACGATATAACCTTAATTATTATTATTTAACTATAATATTGTAATATATTATCATACAATCGTTTATAATATATTTTACTCAAGAAAACTATTTGCTCCGTGCAATTCGTATCAATGTATATCTACTAGAGCGCATATTTCCTCAAGTCTACGATCTAAGACCAGAATAACGTGAAAATAAAAAACCTATTTAGTAATATAATATAATATACACACAAATTATTACAAAGGTGCTTATTCTAAAGTAGCGTAAGTATTAATTTAATGGTTGTATAGTGCACTTACTATGATATATTGTGGTATATGTATATGATATGTATGAATATATATATATATATATATATATATATTGTTATGCACAAAATATTATTAATTTAACTATCATAAAAAAAATATCATATAAATAATACGCAGACTCGTACTCAAGTTCGGTTGTGCACTCACATTGAGCTTCGTACTCGGACTCAACGATTCTTTACTATAGATGTACACTGCATGGGAAAGGAAGCGATCAACGTCTTGCTTATCAAAGAACGATTGCAGGCAGAATTTCCGAGGAAAGGATTCACGATTATTTCAAGAACCGTCTCCTCAGCAACACGTTCTTTTTTAGCATCGATCGTCAAGACTGAATGCGATTAGTTTTCCGAACACCATACGAAATTATAATAAACAAGCGTCGCTCTATACAATGTGTCAAAACAATGGGTCGGGGTCAGTAACGTAATTTGATCATGTTTATGTGGTGAGGGAGTATATTGTATTTGTTGTCATTTTTTGACTTTGCTGATATGTGTCTTACAAAGTATGTATGTTAAATTTAAAAAATAAAAATTCCACCAAAAAATTACATTTTACTTTTACCCCTTTTTTTCCTTAGAAAATTAATTTTATAAAATCTTTTCTTAGCGAGTCTTTACATATCTTTAAAACAAAACTACCGATCAAATTTCATAGCCATAGTTTCGCCAGTTCTAATTAGTCGATAATGAAACAGTAAGTCAAGATATTTTATTATTTTTATACATATACATTATAAATAGTAGAGTTAAATATATGTACCTATTGTACCTATATAAATATGGTAGTCAACACTAAAAAAAAAAAAATCTTGTTGGAAAGAAGCCTATTTTCCCGTAATTACGCCTACTCGGGATGACGAAATGCGTGAGTTTTCCTTTTGTCTATATAAATTAAATTACTAACAAAAATAAATAAATCTTATTAGTCAATGTACAAAATCAAATGATAATAATATAAAACGAAAAGACGTAATATTATCATTACAACAGAATATAATATAGTACCATACGAACCGATTTAAATAAAATATTGTGATTTATTGATACGTGAAAATACAATGTGTTGTAATCAATTTGTCATTGTCGCAGCGAACGAATAAATGTGATAATATTTCTGACAGTCACGTGTTATGTCATAGGTACTATAATATTATTATTGTACCTAAGCAATTGTTCAATCGATCATTGTTTCGTAAAATAATAATTGGTGGCCAACTAAATCTCAATTTTCAAACTATGAAGGTACGTAGTATTTTTCCACAGGCCATATATTACTCGATTAAGTATATAATATGGTGATTATACAACTCAATGGTCAGTGTCCATATTATTATAATATCGTGAAATCGCTTTGGGATGGACCAGAAATATGATACCGTAGGAGACTGATCGATAATATTATAATACTTATATAATATATAACTATAGCAAAAATACATAGGTACCTACTAAAAAAAACTTGGAAAATATTCTCATGTAAAATATATTTGAAATACGATCTTAGAAAAAGGTTACTTACCATTTTAGAGAGTTTCAGTTATTATAATGTTATTGAAAACAGCGATATTCATGAACTCGAAAAAAAAAATCTATCTTATAATTTAGTACTACTATTATAAATCTAATTGACGGTAAATTTAAGTGGATTTATTTTTTAAAAATTGAATTATTCAATTTCCATTAATATGCATCCGAAGAATATACAAACGTAAAAAATCCTATTATGAATTATGATATATAAAAACAAAAACCATAGGAGTGATGGAAGTTTATTACTGGCATAAAAACTGTAAAATGTAACGTATTATTCAATGTAAGAATAAATTATACATATTTTAAGTTAAAGCATAAAATATATATCTAAATTGAAGTAAAATATATTTCAATCCTATAATGTAGTTCATATATGATCTAGGATACGCATCGATCATAAAAGTTCGTATGAATGTAATTAAATCTTTTCAAATTCAAGAAAGACTTCTACCTTGAATGTATGTATATAGTCATTTAAATATTCTCAACTATGTAATATATAATATTATTCATCCCCATTATATTTCTTTTTCATGATCAATTTATTCAAGATTTTCGAAATTGTTAAGTACACATAAATATCACTCGTATATTATTTTTTAATACTTCAATTTTTTATAAAATTTAGACAGTATCCTGTGATGGTGACAATTTTTTTTTCATTTCTATATTAGTAATCAAAATGGGTTTATTGAAAATATTGATATACGTATACATCAATAAAAATTTAATTATTACGTTAATTATTTAGATATTTCGCTTTCTGTAATATGATTATTTTACAATTCATAAAAACTATTCGAGAATATTTAAACTATTTTTTAAGAAATATTATCTTTAGCAGTTAGAGAATACATTTTATAAATTCTAAAACTACTTATTTAAATTTTGGTTTCAAGAAGTACATCAAAAATATTAAAAAGTCATCTGCCTAACAATTATTTATAGTAAAAAGATTAATTATCGTTTTTAAAAAACAATTTTGTATCACCGCGAAATATTCCTTCAATGGTATAAAAAAACTGAATTATTGAAAATATTTTTCTATTAAATGATGTTTCGTATATATATACTTAAAAGTTCCAAATATAATAATTTTAACGCCTAAAAGTCCCATGTTAAAGGGGAACAATGGAGAGGGACATAATTGTCGAATCACTCTGTATATTTGTAAACGATTAAACACATTTTTATCACACCACTGATTTTTTTATCGTTTGTTGTAATATAAAAAAGTATATCAGTTATATTGCAACTTAAAAGCATCGAATGAACTAGGAACATGACAGCGTCGATACATGCCTTTCCACTACTTATGCGCATTAGGTATCAAATAATTTCCTAACCAGCAATGCTAATTGTTTTTCATCCGGCCGGAAATACCGTAGAACACAATACAAAAGCATTTCGCGTGCTTATAGTTATAACTACTGCAAAACGATACTATAAAACAGCGACCATATAATATGTATTACGCATCTAATATAAATGTTATACGGAGCACCTTACGATCAGCTTGGCGCTAAACTATTATAACAATAATATTATTGTGAAAAAATACCTATGTATTAACTTACTGACCGTCACCCACCCAGAACTAATACATAACGATCAAAATCACTTTACGTATATTAAAATATCGTCTTCACTGATTCAGATAATATAATATCTTGTATTGTAATAACTAATAACTAATAACCAAGCACGTCGATATAACATAAGTCTTGTGACAAAGCGTCCTATGATTTTTCGTTCAAATAAATATACGAGACTAAGCATTAAAAGTCGAATTTTTTGTTTAAATAATGTTTATATTAAATTATTTTTATTGACAGTAATTATGGCGAGAACCGATAAGACAATGTGATATCCGCATTCGCCTAAATTGAATTATCATGTCCAACTGTTGTACACCCACGTATACACACTAACACTTACACATAAAATATATATGTTGCTTATTTCATTATTCGTAAATTGCATCGTCCGTCGATTAAATCGTTATTGTGCAGCGGACACCAGTGCAACGACGTGGTTGCAGCAGTTGTTTACGGTAACAATACATTTTAATTAACTCTCATACGATATAGGTACACAACTACACAATGTTTTGCATTTATAATACTTGGTATATCGCAATATACTGTATATATATCCAGTTATTGTTTCATTTTCGATTAGTTCTTTGGAAATTCCATCAATCTGTATGTGTTAAGTGTATATGTGTGTGCCGTTTATAATTTTATTATTTATTATTCATTAATATAGACTCGTCTATGAGTGATAATATTTGCAGATCGCGAATCGGAACAGTATACTTTACACTAAACGAACGCTAACCCATAAAGATCAATAATATTTTGTCAAAACAGAAATAGGTAGGTAATATACGAAATCCGCAATCCCGTTAAGACAGAAATTATAGCATTATAACATATTCTGTATTATAGTTTTAATAGATTTGTCTGCTTTTTTTTTCAGCGGGGGAGGGGGGAGTTCTTAATAGTGGTCGTGGTTGTCAAGGGAAATATTATACAGTTGAGCCAGTGCAGGCGTGTGTTAGATATCACTTAATATGTCATAAGAGAAGTTTGGAAACCCGCACCTGTAGCTGCGGCAGTGGCGTAAGCTGTTGCTGGTGCTGGAGCTGCTGGTGCTGCTGGTGCTGTTGCTGTTGGAGCAACAAGTGCGCAAGATCGTGTTGCTGTTGCTGCTGCTGTTGCTGTTGTTGCTGGTGATGGTGATGGTGCAGCTGATTGAGTAGGGCCAAGGCGGCAGCCGCAGCCGTGGTGGCCTGGTGATGGCCGGCCATGTGATTAGGATGCTGCGGCGGCGGCGACGGTTGCAGTGGTTGCGCCGGCATCGCGTTTAGATGATGCGGATGGTGGTGAGGGTGGTGAGGATGGTGTGGATGGTGCGGATGAGGGTGGTGCGGGTGATGCGGGTGCAGTCCGATGAACGCGATAGGCGCCGCGCCCGGTGTGGCCGGAGCCATCGCGGTTGGCGCCATTGCGGCCAGCGCCAACATATTTTGCGACGGGGCCAGCTGCTGGGGCAGACCCCAGGGCTGCACAGCCGCAGCGATCCAGTGCGGGTGGGCCACCTGGTGGTGCATGACAGGCGGCGGTGGCTGTACGACGGTCGGGGCGAACAGGCCGCCAACGGGCCAGACGAGTCGTGGGGGCGGCGGTGCGAGGGACGGCAGCTCCGGTCGGTTCAGCACGGCGGCGGCTGCGGCTGCGGACGTGCACGACTGCTGGTGCGGCTGTCCGGCGGGCCGATGGCTCTGCCCGGCCACTGTTCGCACCGCGACCCTAACCCGGTCCGGTTAGCGCGGAGATGGGTGGTCGGGTGGTTCCCGTAGGTCGGTTGATGCTTTAGTTGCCGGTCACCAATCTAAAACGATATAATATAACATAATCAAATATAATAAATCAATAATACACTGCAAATGATTTGAGTCTGAAAACGACAAATGTGAAGGAAAGAACAATATTATTACGATATTATTTTTGCACTCAAAAGTGTAATCCGCTGACTTTAATTTATGTACATAATATTTACATAGGATTTGTTTAAGAAGTGCTAAAATATTGTAGGTGAATAATAGTAATGTAGCACCGTACGTGCCTATGTGTAAATAATTTATGCAATAAATTTCGTATCCAAGTCTAAAGAGTCACTATAAAACCTTGATCGACAATCATTTAAATAAGATTTCAAATCTGAACTGAGTGCACTCGCCGAGGACAATAATAATATTGATGTATTATTTTTGCAACGTCGTCATAAAACAATTCGAGTCAAATCAGGTCGTTTAAATCCATTACATGCACTTGCATCTGACACGTAATGATATAACACGATTACGATGTCAAACGATCAACAGCCACGGAGTTTATTTTTTTTTTTAAATTTCAATAAAAAATTAATAACCATCAATGTATAATAAACACTAAAAAAAAAAAAAAACTATAAAAATCCGAATCAGATAGGATACAAATATAAAATTACACAAAGGATTTTCGTAAACCATAATAAACCATAATATTGAACGTACTACGACATATAAGTCAACATGTTTGATAGAGAAATACTAAATATGTGGCATACGAAAGAAATTGTAATGGACACGTGATTACTTGAATAAAGAAATAAAATAATAGCAGGACGACAAGACCTATATAAAATTGCCAAGTCGAATAGTAAATGCCTTGGAAATCTTCGACAGTAATAAGTGTAAACAAAATTATTGTCGACGATAAAAATGATATATCTTTTCTTTTTCTTTTTTATTTATTTACCATTTAACTACTGGTTTATTATTGATTTATTCTATAACTATTTCAAGTTGGTAATATTTGCATTGAATAATATTTTAATTGCATTATAAAATTATGTCAGCAGTGTGTTTTTATATTATCGATATCTGGTAGTAAGGAGAAGCTAAAAAAACGTTTTCCGTCGACTTTTACAAGCAAACGTATATTCTTATGCCAAACATGTAATTTAAATGTAAAAGACATACCCCATATGTATCACGTCCGACACATTTAGATAGATCGATTTGGCTGTAAAACATAATATTATTCCCAACGACATATCGTTTTCAATTCAATTTGAGAATAAATATAGTTTCCCTGCTAGGGGATAACACTCTGCGATTGCAGTGGAGAGAGCGGTACAACACTATTATAATATTATTATATACTGCAAGCTTTCAAGTATTATGGAGGACTCAAATTATAATAGAAAAGAATATAGTTTAAAAAAAAAGAGAATACGTTTATCTCATAGCTCAAATCTAAAACGGTATTGTGACGACAATATAGCATATATAATATTATTATATAAATTATAAATAATTTAAGTACAAGTCAATATATCACCATTGCATTATCGACGCAGTTCAACAGTACTAATACACACACACATTGGCGAATAATAATTTATTTTGTATCAAGTATACAATATACGATGTATATAAACTTAATATTATAGTGTCTGTTATCGCGTCGGTTGACCGGGCACTCAGTATAAGAAATAAATCCTCTTTTTGTATATTACCAAAAAACCCATCTACTTATATTATGCATACGCAATACGCATATCCTGTGTGTTGGTGTATAACATGAAAGAAAGTTCTTCTGGTTGATGGTCAAAATAATTTATGTACGGTCACAACGAACGTCTTCAGTAATAGGTGGTATACTCTCAGGGGGTATCTGTATATAGGGTTGTCCCTCACTATAAACTTTTTGCTATTAAACTTTTTGAAATATGATTTTGGAAAACTAATAATTAATCAATTTCACAATTTTTAAATGTTTTAGATATTATATTTCAGTTTACCCAAAATGAAAAGAAATACTATATACATACAGTGCTCGTTTTCATGTTTCCCATAATATGATATATTGTTATGAAAATATTAGAGATATTAAATCCAGTATACATTAAAATAAAACCATTATCAGTGAAATGTTAAAAATAAAATAGTCCCGAACGTCTTAAATTTTAAGCAAGCTAAAGGTGGGTAATTGACTTGAAAAGTATCTCGTGAGGATCTATTGCATAACTAGTGTATTATAGGTGTGTCAGTGAGAATTGAATACGATGACAAGCCGCACTGTGAAACGCTCCTAATGTTTAGCTATATGAAATGCGAACTCTATACAATAATAATAATATCATAGTTAAATACCGTTTAGGATTTGTACTCATATGTTGTGAATTTATTCATCTCCGTAAGTCAGAGCCGGTGTCATACTAAAAATATATGCGTACCTAACAATATATTATATTTTAAGCATGCGAAGCCGTAGAAAGAGATTTTTAAGCTATCATCAATATATTATAATAATACAAGGAATAAATTTGGCTTTCGGTTCTATATGAGTTGTATTTTATTATTTTTTTATCGTATAAATAAAAAATATTTTTCGAATTGTAGATGCATTATATTTTTTAATGCAAATTCATAAATACTGATACCTCGCTATATTAAGAGATTCGCAGAGATCGGTGGTTAATTGTATAGTGATGATAATAAAAATCATACTTATAAATTTAACTACTTATATTTACAAAATGTGTTTATTTTAATTAAGCAATTAATGCATTTAAGATTCTGTTGCGATCAAATTATAGTTTTGTGATTTAAATGTTATAATTCTCATAATACTACATACAATTCATAGTCTATTGTTAACTTATATGGTTTAAAAATAAAATAAAAAAGTATATTTATAATAACTAAACAAATGGAATAAATGTTAATAAAAAATTTAAATCTACAAGCCTACTAAATCAAACGCGCAAATTTCATATAATTTATCAGAATTATTTTGCCCCACGAATAACTCCATGACCGTATAACAAAAATAATAATAATATATGAATTGTAGTCGTCTATCTAAAGCAGTAGGGTATCTCTGCAATGGTCTACATCAGACTACAGGAAAGACGGTAAATATAGTGTAATATACATATTATATTATGTAAAAACGCGTATAACAATATTATGTGTATAATATATTGTCGATTACAAGCGTTAGAGGAGATTTTTCTCGCATATTATTGTACAATTTACATATTATATTGTTTGACAGAAGTTTATTTTATAAGATATATGTACCCCAAATATACTATGAAGACAAGTATGAACACGCGTGTAATATCATATTCGTCGTCGCCGTCGTCGTAAAATAATAATAATGTGTTGTCTGACGTGATAAGCGAAATTATATGTAAAAAAGAACTAAAAAACAGCATCCGTCCGTCATCATTTATGAGATTTGTCACTTATATTATACGAATGTCGTACATTTTATCTGAGACTCAAACGTCGTGTCTAACATCGCGACAATGCTTGTCTGTCGTGTTTTAACTTAAAGTTACATCAGATAACAGTAACACAATAGTTTGACCTCCAAATTTAAATCTCCTATGTGTGACGTATATATTTGTAGTAAGCATATGTTGCACACAAAGAGATACAGTAGGTACAAGATACCGATAGTCACACCTATTAATATAGGTGATGGGTGACTCGGTACTGGTAAATTTACTGTTGGACTACATAATAATTATAAAACGAATTAATGTTTTTTTTTACATTCTGAGTATTTTTATTAATGGGACAAAATCGTTTAAGAAAATATTTTTTTAGTGTGCTTAAAATGTAGTAAAAATAAGTCGTAAAAATGTTGACACCTCTACAAAAAATTAGTGCAGTGCGCCAACTATTCGCAATTATATAGCGCAGATATGTTTTTGCACAAACATGATAATTTTTTATTAATCTCTGCATAGAATTCATACATACCTGAAGAGCCGATATTCCGTCAACTTTAGAAGGTAATTACATTAAATTTAATACAACAAACATTAATATAAATTACTAAATTAAGTTAAGTTTAAGCACACGCTTTTGTGTAAGTGTAATACAGTAGACTTACTAAAGTAAGCTGAACGAAGAACTTCAATAATTCACTACATTATCGAAAAGAGGGACCGACTGGTTCCACTGAGAGCTGTACACTTAAACCACAGAGTGTGCAGGGATGATTACAAGTCAAATATGCGTATACTACAGAAAAAGGACCGGAGAGGAGGGATTTACAATAAAACGTTCATAAATAGGTAGGTAATTTATGTTTATAAATTTTTTTGAATCCCCAATCAACCCGAATTTTATTTTATAGCTCACTTTTGCGAACACCATATTAAATATTAATAACACGTACAATTTTTTGAAAAAATGTTTATTACGAGATATAAGTAAAATATATGGTTTGGAAAATAATACTTTTTTCGACCCGACCCGAACAGGGTGTAACGCAAACAATCAAATACCAACTGATAAAATGTGGCTAGTACAAAGAAGAACTTGAAGAAAGCAAAATATGTAACACCTAAGAGGCAGCACTAATACCTAAACTTTACAAAATTTTAACTTATCACTGATTTTAAGAAAAACTAAACTATAAAATAATATTTAAAAAAAACTATTTTAACTTGTAAGTGAAAAAATTGTACATAACTAATGACTAAAAATACAGACAAAGTTTATTTAAGATCGATAGAAATATAAATATATTTAAACTCTATAATTCATATTTATTTTTAATTTTATTACACATATGTATAGTAGAAGCTCATACAATGTAGTTATCTATCTTTTATAAAAACACTTGAGCTCACCAGTTTTAAAGAGTTTAGAAAGATACAATTTGTTATAATTTAAAATTTACCAAAATATAAAATAAGCTTGGGTATTATTCTAAAAAAATATACAAATCTAATAATAACCATAAAACAAAAATAATAATAATAGTCAGTGTACTAAATAATTCTTGTTTTGTAAACATAAATTCGCACAAATTCGACTATAT